ACATAAGATCAAGATGCACTGATAACTATTGGCAATGGAATATAAATGTTGGAAACAAAGAGGAAGGAAAAGCAGTTGAAAACTAGGGCCTGTGTGATGGAAAAAAAAGCTGGAGTTAGAAAGAACTGCATGCTAAAATTCTGCAAGACTGACTTCATCACAAATACCCTTCTTTCAACAACACAAAAGGTAACCCCACATGTGCACACCTATAGATGGAATAGCTACAGCTCAAATTACATCTGTGAGAAGAGAGGTTCAATATCTACAGCTCAAAACAGGCCAGGGGAAGACTGTGGAAAAGACCAACTTTTGCTCATATGTGAGTTCAAGTTGAAGCTGAAGAAAAACAAGCCCATGAGAGCCAAAATAGCCTTGAGTATATCCCACCTGAATTTGGAGAACATCTCAAAAACAAGTTTTATACGTTGAGAGTAATGACAGAAGACCCGATGAATTGTGGGAGGACATCGAGAACATCATACATGAAGAAAGCAGAAGGTCATCAAAAAGACAGGAAAGAAATATGGATGTCAGAAGACACCCCGGAGGCTGCTCTTGATAGTAGAGTACCTAAGGCAAGTGGAAGAAATGATGAAGTCAAAGAACTGAACAGAAAATTTCAAAGGGTAGCTGGGGAAGATAAAGTATTATAATTAAATGCGTGAAGACTAGAGTTAGGAAACCAAAAGGGAAGAACTTGCTCAGAATCTCTTAAACTGAAGGAACTAAAAAAAATTCATGCCTTGGGTTGTAATCTTGAAAAACTCTATGGTCAAAATATTGAATGATCCAGAAAACATCAAGAGAAAATGGAAAGACTATAGAAACACACTATACCAAAAATAACTAGCCTGCATTCCACCATTTTAGGAGGTAGCACAGGATCGAGAACCAATGATACTAAAGGGAGAAGCTCAAGCTGAACTAAAGGTATTAACCAAAGTAAAGGTTCCAGGAATTGATGAAATAGCAATTGAAATGCTTCATTGAGCTAATGAATCACTGGAAGCATTCACCTGGCTATGCCAAGAAATTTGAAAGACAGCTACTTGGCTAACTGATGGGAAGAAACGCATATTTGTGCCCATGCAAAAGAAAAGTGACCCACAAGAATTGACAAATTATAGATATTAATGTCATTAATATCTCATGCAAGTAAACTTTTGCCAAAGATCATCCAACAAAGGTTGCAGCAGCACATTGACAAGGAACTACCAGAAGTTCAGGCTGGATTCAGAGGAGGATGTGGAACAAGGAATATTATTGCTGACGTCAGGTGGATTTGTCTGAAATCCAAAAAAATACCGGAAAGCTATTTGCTTATGTTTTATTGAGTACACAAAGGCATTTGGCTTTGTGGACCATCAAAACCAAAAATAGCCTTGAGAAGAAGGGGAATTCCAGAACCCTTCATTGTGTTCATGGGGAACTTGTATGTGGATCAGGAGACAGTTGTGCAAACAGCATAGCATGTTCGTAGTTGTTGAGTATTACTGGTGTATTAGTTGGGGTTGGGAGGGTGTGTGTAGAAAAAAGGAGATAGGTAGCTTCAGTTTTGTTCATTTTTAGGGTCTGTTTGAGCAAATGGTGAAACAATAGGGAGAAATGTTGATTTGGTTCTATGTGCACATAGAATCTTCTGCAGAGATTTACAGCCTTAGAAACTCTGTAGGGTTGCTGGGTCATAATCAATGGGATGGCAATGGGGTTGGTTTTTTGCTTGTTTGTTTTTATACTTAAAAATGTAATACAATCACAATACATAATGTGATGTTCATTAATGATGCCATACTAGTGTGTTCTAAACCGTCTCACTTCTAAGTTATAAAAACAGCAAATTCAACATAGGCAAAAACACTTAAGACAGATGCCAAGTAGGAGGACTGATGACCCAGCCCTGTAGCAGGGTGATTTCAGTGATGAAATTGATCCCAACTCACCTTGTTGCTTTTGTGGGTACCACCCACTTCACCCTGTCCTACCCCACTACCCAAATCAATTTCCCTCGAACTCTTGGGCACTGCTCTGAGCAACATCACCCTGACTCCCAAAAGTTGGTGTGCACTATGGGAAAACAAGCAGAAAAAGGAGTGAGTGGAAGAGGTGGTAGAATAGGAATATAAGACAAGGAAAGTCCTCAGCCGTCAAGTAGTCAAGGAAAATGTGGAATGCCTCCTACAGTGGAAGGGTTTTTCAGAAGAGGACAAGGCATGGATAAGAAGAGAAGTTGGATCACCCCGACCTCTTTGTAGAGTTTCTACAGTTGCAGAAAACTCTTCATGAGACATACATCTGAGGGAGGTGAGCGCAAAGCTGACCCTGCTTCTCAATGTAAAGATGAGAAAGTAAATCAATGAAGAAGAGAGAAGATTCAGAAAAGCAACAAGACTTCACCTGGAGTTGGGAGCCAGAGCTCTTTTTTTTTCTTCTTTGACTCACACCAGGTTTCTGGTGTGAAGGGTGAGGATGCTCAGGACGTTTTTTTTCTGTGCGCCATCAGGACTCCCTATTCACAGGTATATCCCATTGCCATTGAGTCATTGCTGATGAAGGCTGGTAGGTGCTGTCAAGTCGTCCCTACTCCTCATAGCCACCCTGTGTGCAATAGAGCAAAACAGTGCCTGGTTCAGTGACATTCTGACTCACTGCAACTGAATAGGGCTTGTAAGACTCATCGTTCTCCTTTGGATCTGGGCTTTGAATCAGTGACCTTGCACTAGTTCTCACAGCCCATCACTATCCTACAGCGCCACTAGCGCTTCTTATTGAGAGGAATACAAACCAGAACTTCAATACATATTTTGGAGAGATGGGATTCAATCCAAAACACAAGGTAAAGTGTCAGTACTTTCTGTTTGAATTACTAATTGAAATGGGGAAAAGTCAGAGAATGGACACTAGGCACTATAGGGAAATGTTGTTGGAAGGCTTTATTGCACTTTTTGAAATTTTTAATCGTTTTATTAGGGGCTCATACAACTCTTATCACAATCCATACACACATCAATTGTGTAAAGCACATTTGTACATTCATTGCCCTCATCATTCTCAAAACATTTGCTCTCCACCTAAGCCCCTGGCACCAGCTCCTCAGATTTATTGCATTTAATCTATCAGAGAGGAAGGATACAAGTCAATGAAGTGATCTTGTCTCTCACCTGAACTCTCTCACCACTTTTTGCCCCCAGACTTGAAGCCAATGTTTGTCTCTGAAGCTGGCAGTGACACAGCCTTTAAACTGTTATTGCAATCAATAACAGTTTATTTTCCTTTTGGTGTTTGTTTTATTTTTATTTCTTTATTTATGCCCCTTACTGTGAATTAGGTAGGGGTTTACGTTTCAGATCATCCATTTTGCATTTAGCCACCCAAACTGCTTCAAAAGCTCACCTTGCCCATCCGCTTGGATTTCTCATCTCCCTCTTATGGAATAGTATCCTGCTCCCCAGCCCACCTCACTCAGCTATTCAGTGCATCTTCCATCTCCTAGTTTGTTGCATAGTGTCTGGGGTCTTAAAAGCTTTCAAGTAGCCATCCATGGCTCAACAGTTGGTCTCTATTCATCTGGAACTACAGAGGAGGAAGGAGAGTCAGGAATGGATGAGGAGATGGAGTCTGTGCTTAATTGCCTCCATGAACAACCACCTCCTTGTCCTGACACCCGGAGAACTGGGTGGTGCCCCGCTACCATGTTTGAGCGCTTTTATCAGAAATTCCATCGAAGAATCCTGATCATAAAAAGGAAAATGCAGAACAGGATTTCAAATTCTCAAAGATTCTAAACTTTCTGGAGCCATGGGAGGTGCATGAACTCCTGGAACTATTGCTCTGAGACAACCTTTAAACCTCAAGCCACAAACAACCCCTAAAACCTTGTGGAAATGGAACAGTGGTTGGGTTAAATGAGTATCAAGGGTTTGCCTTGAGTATTGTGCTCTTTTTACAACTATCTGTATGGGATAAAATTGACAATAACCACTTGAAATATTAGATTGGAACATCAGGGAGCTTTGAGCTTGTGTTAAGCAAGGAGGAACGACTCAAAAAGGAAGGTGAGAAAGAGTCAACAACGTAAAGAATAGATTCAATATCATTAACTTATACATATAGAAATTGCTGAATTGATATGCCTTGCATTGGACATTCTTAACAAGTGAAATTTTACAAAACACACTGAAAACCACTCCAAAAACCAAATTCACAGAGGAAATGGTAACGCTTTATTCTTCATTGCATCTTTTAGGTAATTTTGAACAAGAGCCCAAATTTTCTTTTATCACTGCACCTCCTACATCATAAAGCCACTCATGCAAATTGAGAGTAGGTAAAATTACCCTCCAGTAGTAGGCTAAGCTGTTTCAGAGAGTGGAACTTAAAGAAATCTCTTGATTCTAAAAATTACATGTTTCTAAAAAGTGGCAGAGAGCTGTGTTGTTTATATGAGGCATTACTGATTATCATGACCCAAAGGCCAGTTCCTTTCATGATTCACACCTTGCAGTACAGGGATTCCTTTGAGGAATGTGTAATGGTCATCGTCTATTGGCTGCCTTCCTAAAACATTCTCCCTGTTAATTTTTCCAACACGTTGGAGGTGGAAGCCTATTAAAGGTGAGTTCTCAAATATGTAATTATATCATTATATGTGGTTATACCTTGCAAGGAAGAACTTCAAAGACAAAAAGAATAAGGTCTGTAGAATCTGTTTCTTCAATTGTTTAGATAATGCCATTTCTGACCCAATGAAAATTCACAGTAGATTTTCTTAGGATTAATTGGCTATTAGAATGGGGCTTACTCACAGAAATAATATACGGATTATAGGTTGAAAGAGTACTTTTCTAGTTGGAATTTCTTCGGATAATTGAAATGAAAAGAAGAATATAGTGTGCTGTAATAAAAGCCATTGCTTAGTTTTTAAGAGAGTATTTAGGATTGAACATTGTTGTTCCCCACCACCAGGAAGAGCAGAAACACAGCAGGCACTACACAGGACCATGGCCAGCAATTTCTCACAACCTGAGGCGCTGCAGCTCTGCTATGAGAACGTGAATGGCTCCTGTATTAAGTCTCCCTACTCTCCAGGAACCCGGGGGGTTCTGTATGCAGCTTTTGGCTCTGCCTCTGTGCTCGCTGTATTTGGAAACTTCTTGGTGATAATTTCAGTCCTGCATTTCAAGCAGCTGCACTCGCCAGCCAACTTTCTGATCGCCTCCCTGGCCTGTGCTGACTTTTTGGTGGGAGTGACGGTGATGCCATTCAGCCTGGTCAGGTCTGTGGAGAGCTGCTGGTACTTTGGGGCCCAGTTTTGCACCCTTCACAGCTGCTTTGACGTGGCGTTTTGCTACTCTTCTCTCTTCCACTTGTGCTTCATCTCCATCGACAGGTACATCGCTGTCACTGACCCTCTGGTCTATCCGACCAAGTTCACCGTGTCTGTGTCAGGAATGTGCATCGGCATCTCCTGGATGCTGCCCGTTGTGTACAGCGGCGCCGTGTTCTACACAGGAGTGAATGATGACGGTATGGAGGGGTTGGTAAGTGCCCTCAACTGCATTGGTGGCTGTCAAATTGTTGTAAATCAAGACTGGGTTTTGATAGATTTTCTGTTATTCTTCCTACCTACTCTAGTTATGATCATTCTGTACAGTAAAATTTTCCTTGTAGCTAAACAACAAGCTATGAAAATTGAAACTACAAGTAGTGAAATCAAATCCTCAGCAGAGAGTTACAAAGCCAGAGTGGCCAAGAGAGAGAGAAAAGCAGCTAAAACCCTGGGGGTCACTGTGGTAGCATTTTTGATTTCATGGTTACCGTATACAATTGACACATTAATTGATGCTTTTATGGGCTTCATCACCCCTGCTTATATTTATGAGATTTGCTGCTGGGGTGCTTATTATAATTCAGCCATGAACCCTTTGATTTATGCTTTATTTTTTCCTTGGTTTCGGAAAGCCATAAAACTTATTCTAAGTGGGGAAGTCTTAAAGAATAGTTCCTCAACCATGAGTTTGTTTTCAGAATAAGTGTGAGCACTAAATGAGATGTTGAGGGATCTTTTGAAAATTATGAACTTATGACAAAATGATATAAGAAATTAATAAAGCCTTTCAAAATTGGGAAAATGTGTGCTTTTTAAAATTCCCCAGGAAAAGTAGTCATGGGACAGTGTTTCCATTAAACCATGGTGAAAGTATTTAGTGTTCAAAATAATATATGCTACCGTGTTTGTGTATATTATGTATCTTGATAGATTATATACCTTCTTGTTTCTTCCAGTTCATTGATTTCCAAATCTCACTTTTGGATGTGAAGTCTCTAATCACTTTCTCTTTCATTCCCAACACTTGTTTACCTTTAAATGGTCTTTTCATTTTTTCTTATATTTTTCCCTTTTTGTTGTTATTTTCTGACATAGTCTAGGTGTAATGGGCCTCCCTGTGGTTAAGGTTCTCTTCATTTGCTGCTCCTTTTGTGAATATTTCTCCCTGCTTCCCCACTGTTCTGTACCTGTCTGGAGCTTTGCGGACAGCAGATAAAACTCTCCTGTTTAATGGCTGGATAACACCTTGGGATGTTCACCTGTGTTTTTGTAGGAGCAGTAAATTCAACCTGAAGTCAGTTAGTAACTGTGAACATAATCTGGAAATTGTGCAAGAAGAAAAAACGACCACATAAAGACTGTCACAATGATTGCTAAGCAAATGGAAATTGTGAAAATAAAAGAATTATTATGATAAAGCTGTTGCAATGATCAGTAGCCATGGCCATTTTAGTACCAATTTTTCTCATCTAAAAAAGTGTGTTTTTCATTCCTAATATTGTTGCAGGGTCATAAATATGCTAATGTAGCTAACAGTGCCTATGAGAGAGCGTGAACAATGTGTTAGAATTTATATGTTGTTCTCTCCGATGTCTTACACTTGTTTATTAAATAGCAGGTTGTTTGGAATGTGTACCTGTAGTATTTCACACAATAAAAGTAAATTATAGTAGCACAGTGTTTGTGGTTTATCTGCAGAGCAACCAATTGCATACAACCGTGGGAGTATTTTTCTTCAATGGTTTCAGTAAGACTTTTCATTTTTTCAGGCAAATATTGATTATACATTTTGTGAATTACCTGTGTCAAGCACAGGCAAAACTATTTTGTAGGTAATGGTGTGAGGAAACACATGACGAATCATATTGTTGAGAATCTAACACCTGTGAGCAGAAGAGCAATTTCTATTGTAAAACTAGTCATTGATGCTGGTCATTCTTACAGCATTATCTTCTCATTCTTGTGTGATCTCCTTACCTAGAGGTTAAATAAGCTTAACAAATCTTTTTTTTTCTTTTTAGAAAAAGTGTATTTGGGGTTGCATGGATCTACAAAATTAAGAATTAACTTCTGTATACATATGATTACATACATACAAGTTGGGAAACAGCAAGCAATTTAGTAAGGCTAGTGGCAGAGTAAAATTCAATGGAGTTTCTTGCTATCACTTACTGTACACAAGACGTCAGAATAACAGTTGCAGACATTATGAATAAATATCATGATCTTTACATTTGGAGCACACAAAGTCCACTTTGGTGAGTAGTGACTGGGATCTAAAGAGCTTGTGAGCAACCATGTAAAGTGGAACTATTTGTCTCCCCTTGTCTGGAGCAAAGAAGATTGTAGGAAATCAAAGCAATGAAAAACATAGGCAAACAATTATTCCAAAAGTTTAACGGACTATGAGACCTCCAACCCCGGGGAACAGGAGACCAGAAGAATTAGGTGATGCTTGTCCACCACTGCTGAAAGGGCTGGAGTGGTCCGGAATAGAGTGGGCAAAAAATACAAAGCAAAACTCAAACTAATAAAGACCAGGCTTACTGGTCTGATAGAAACTGTTGAACCTTGAGTGATAGCTCTCAGACACTCTGCAAGTCAGTCTGAACTGAACTTACCCCTAAAGCTCAGCTTTCAGCCAAACAATAGACAGGCTTAAAGGTGGACAGTAGCAACAAGGAGATTCCCACTCTTTAGAACCATCGACCAGATGAGATCAAAAGAGCAGCATCTGCCAGAAAGAAAGACCAGTTGGCAGGCAGGAGTAGGACAGAAGGATGAATGGAAACATCAGAAGTAAGTGGGGAGAGTGCTGTTACATTCCAGGATTGCAACCAGTGTCACAGAAACGCGTATGCATTGTTGAGTGGAGAACACATTTTCTCTGTAAAAGTTCACCCAAATCACAAGAATAAGTTTAAGGAAAAGATAGTCTATGTAATATGGCCTACCTGTATATATATATATACTTATTCTTTTTTTAAGCAAAGATTCATTTTTGTGTAACAGGTATATGTGTGTGTGTTGAAGAATTGATTTTGTTATTTTTATATTTTAAATGTCATTCAAAAGCTTTGTGTGTAAAATAAATATATTAAAATTGATACTATAATTCACGTATCTCTGTTCTTAGCCTTGACGTAAGGTTACTCTGTTTGCTTATTTCAACTTAAGGAGAATATATATTGATTATATTTACATCTTTTTTTCTTACATAATGAAATTAAACTGTAACTGCATTAGCTTACTTTATGAACCACATCTAGGATATTCATTTCATTGTCATTTTATATTTTTATGGTGGGTCTTTAATCTCCTCCTACTCCTCCTTCAGAAGGACCCAGTATGAGTCTTTTCATTAGCTGTAGAAGCCCCCAAATATAATTTCATGATCCATTCACTCAGAAACATAAAACTAAGTATTACAGTAAGAAATTAACTTATACACCTTTGAACATGGTAAAATAAAAATCTAAAGCATTATAGATACAGAAGTTTGAGTACTGTAACAGGCAGTGTTCCACTGCCACTCATTAACGTCTTCAATGGCTCATCCTTCAGAAGAATACGGACAACCTCTTCCTTGTTCCGAGTCTCTGCTCCTCTGGGAGCTCTGCTGAAACTGTCCACCTTGGATGATCCTGCTGATGTATGAAATCCTGGTGATGGAGCTTCCAGCATCAGCAATATGCCAACCACCATAATGCCACAAACTGACAGCCAATGGGTGGTTCTTAGCATTAGGGAAATGTATTTCTCACTAGAAGGATCCCTGGTGGTGTAGTGGTTTTGCATTGGGCTGAGACAACAACATGCATAAAAGCAAGACAGAGCAAAACCAAGCAACAATGTACAACAAAACAGCAACAACATCAATCCACTGATGAAGAACAAATTAAAATATACCAAGAAAGAAAAGCATGTGTTTTCCAGCCTAGCCTGTTGGGGCACCATGCCCTGTCTCCAGTATCCACCCTCATCATTCCCTGGGGATCTTGCTACTCCCCTTACCGGAGTAGAAAGCCCCATCTTTCTCCTGATATAAAGTGAGCATCCAGTAATTCTAATTACATCATAATTGTTCTCCTCTCCAATGCCTGTTCTCCTGGTAAGTAGATAAAAGTCAATTTGGAAGAAGTTGTGGGGAGGATTGATACTATAATAAGTTGGCTATGTTCCAGTGTCCTTCTTCAGATGGATTCCGTATCCCCTTACTCCAAGGGCTATACAGCTGTGAACTGGCACAAACCTGGGAATTCATTGATGAACTATAATATTGCTATGTTGACTGAATTTGTCTTCTATTCCTGAGAACTCATAGCAACTCTATAGGACAGGGCAGGACCATCCTTTTGGGTTTTAGAGACTGTATTTCTTTAGGGGAGTAGAAAACCTCCTCTCTCTCTCGAGGAGCATCTGATGGTTTCAAACTGCTGACCTTGAGGTTAGAAGCCCAGTTTGTAACCACTATAGCACCACAGTCACTATGAGTCAGAATAGAATCAATGGCAATGAGTTTTGTAATCTTTGTTTCCTGAGAACTAAAATTTTCTGCTTAGCTGACACCTTACTTCAATGGCTGCCCCCAGAAGAAGCACACCAGCTTGTGTGAGGCAAGGACAGTAAGTAATAAACTCCAAGAACAATATCATAGCTCAAATTCTGAGCACTCAGTTTGCAGAAGGCTATGGATGAAGTGAAAGCCCCAAGTCCATTTGCAGGGTCCCCACATGGATTAAACTTCTGGTAAATCCTCTCTGACTATTGACCAGGGATATGAGTAGCCTTGCCAACAGATAAAGTATATTGGAAATCAGGCTAATGCAGATGTGTAGTTATGTTAAAATGTAACACCTTATAACTTGTTCCCCCTTCTGACTCATTTTAATTTTGTTTTTATTATTTTCTGCTTTTTTCTCCAACAGTTTTATTGGCATATAACTCACATATCATATAATTCTATAGTTCAATCACATCAAGAAGAGTTGTACACTCATCACCACAATCACTTTTAGCACATTTTCTTTATTCTTGTATTCATTATTAGCTCTCCATCCCCCCACCCACCATCTTCCTCTGCCATACCCTCAAGGAGCCATTTATCTAGTTAATGCCTCTATAGATTTACGTATCCTGGATTTCATAAACAGAAAAACATTAAAAAACAAACAAGCTACAACAAAAACTAACAAGAATACAATAAATAAATAAAACTAAAATAAACCAATACAATAAAACTAACAAGAAAAACGAAACAGATAAAAACCTTAATCAAAAAGAAAGAAAATATTTAAAACTAGAACAAATTTAAATAAGGAAGACTGAATGATAGGGTGCTATATTTTAACCTAACTGCATCTGCATATTTATGGCTCTTGAATAATCTTTAAATTGTTGTGAGGGACAGGATTGGCTCTTCTATCATATAAGTTTACCTATCCCTGAATTCTGTTGTTTTTTTCCTATCCCTGAATTCTATCTAATAATATAAGATATCCTTTTAATATAACTGATGTCCACTTTTGTAACCATACCCGCATTTCTTTGGAGAATATGAGAAAGAGTTCATAAAATATTTAGAGTTAATTATAATGAAAATTTCATTCTCTCCCACCTAAGTTTGAGGCAATTGAGATTTTTACTTACTATTATGTTTCCTAAATTTTCATGCACTAATCAGGTTATTATTGTTGTTGTTGT